CCTGGACCCTTGGATTAAAAGTCCAATGCTCTACCGACTGAGCTACCCGGGCATATAAGGAATTGATGCTAAGATCCAATTATAAGTTTTTTTTTCCATGAAATCCCTGCAAGAATATTGTTTTTATTTACAAATCGAAAGGCTTATGATGCATATATATTTAATAATTAGTCTTATGAATACGCTTTTGTTGTAGATTCGTGGGGAAGTTGAGATGTTTTTTTTACTGCGAACTCCATTCTAAATCGAAGACACGAAATGAAATGGATTAGTATTAGGAATATATCCAAATGTTATTAAATACCGATTATAGAGAGCTTGAATCATCTTTTTCCTTACGACTGTTATAACAAATATGAAGATGCCTTGAGAGCATGGTAAGAGGTCTAAATAGGTCGAAACATTACCAAAATCCGTTCTAAGTCAAGAAGCTATGATATCTATTAACCACAGCCCGGCTGTTGTAGCGAATAATCGGATGAGTAGACCGAATCTTAAATGGAAATCGATATAATATAACCGGCAATTTAAAACTCTAAGAGATCCGATTTAACCCAAGTTGCCATTCCATCGATGGGCGAACATATATTTGCCATATCTTTTTGTTTTTGGATAATTAATTTCAATTATGTATCATTTTAAATAATAGAAACCGTAGGAGGAAAATTTTGTCAGACACCAAGTCCATGGCTTCTGTAGCAATGAAAGGACGGACGGACAGGAAGGCGGACATTGCTCAAAGCCAATAGCTTTGTGATTTCGTGATTTATAAATACTATAAGTTAAATGGGAATCCATCCTTAGCAGACCTTGAAGAAAGACCATGGGTTTTCCGTATCACTCTCGTTGAATTCTTCACACGCGTAATCATTGGCAACCTGCACAACATAATCTTTGAGTATATCCCTCTGCACCACTTGACCGTCGAGAAGAGTTATATTCAAAAGTCGAAAATCATGGGTGTTTGGGGGATCACAACAAAAGATTAGGCATGGCTTTATATGACAGACTTCGGAATTAAGATGTCTCTATATTGAAAGGATCCGTTTGAGAGTTGGACGCTATTTGTTAGATCGACGATATCAAAATAATCACAGCCTGGAATATCGCCTGCGATCTCAGCAATAATTAGGCTGAGTGTAAATATGGCACAAAAGAACTTTCCCATTTCGCCGTTGTATTTTATAAAATAACATAAAACTTTGAAATCGATTTCTTAAATTCAGAAACTCTTCTCTTCAAGAGCAAAATATCAACTGAGCTGAGCAAAATTATGAAAAATATAAATAAGAATTTATATTATGTAAAACCACGAAGGTTTTGAATGAGTAATACTTGGCTGCAGGATAAAAATAGTTTCCGACATAAATATTGTGTACAAAAAATAAAAACAAATAATTATAATTCCAATCCAATAACAAAATAGAGGTACGTAATAATAATGCTCTTCGATTCAAAAACTAATATATGTGCGTAATTTTTGGTTAATCAAGAGGCGAGGTAAAATAACATACATAACTGTTTAATGTGAAGTTAAAATTTTTAACTTTTATTACATATAAAAATTACAAATTGTAACCCCACATTAAACAGTTGTGTATGTTATTTTACCTTGCCCCTTGATGTACAGCTCAACGAAGAATTTTGGAAATTAAGAGGCACGTTCTAAATGTACCAAAAGTTAAGTGAGAGTGTACCAAATTTATTTTGAGAATACTGCTTCCCGTGTTTTGTTCAGATGTTAGCTGCTTGCCTGTACACTGCTTTCTAATAATTTCTTTTGTGAGTGAGTGAAACACTGCCTGAATTATGCATTGCTTTACATCGATGGACAACTTGGTTAGGATTTGTTTTCTACACTGCTTGGCACACTGCTATACAATAGTATTTCAGCAAAAATAATAATAATAAAAAAAACGAAACAAATATATATTTAAGTTACTTGGTACCTAAGGAAATGATTTTATATAATTTAGCAAAATAATTAATATTTTAATCCAGTTCTCAATATGGATTGCAAGATTCAGTTGCCAACGGTCTACAAAAAAGTAGACGGACATATCAAGAGGATTATATTCTATTCAAATAAAAAACTTTAGCTCTGTACATTTTAAAATAGTTTTATTTTTATGTCATATTCGTACATGTTTACATATGTTTTCGTTTGTTTTGATTTATTTATAGTTGTATGCATTTGTGGTTTTACAGCTTATAAACATTGCATTCGCAATAGAACCCATATCATTACATAAGTACGGATCTCATTTAAAACTATTTATGTTATTTATTTTTACATGGAATGCAGTTAAACTCTTTGCGCCCCCCTAGCCCCGAACTACAAACATTGTATTGCATTTTGATTGGAAAATCATAAAATATTTATATATGTATATATATATTAAAAAAAAAACAAAAACAAGTATATAATTTGTGCTAAGTATTTATGCTTTTTTTTTTCTTACTTTTGTTTGCTTTCGTGTTTCAATGCGCGGGCTTTATTATTATTATTATTATTATTTTTTTTTTTTTGTTATAGTTTTACTTTTTACTAAAATTTGTCATGCTAATTCAATATAATTTAGGCTTATGGTCTAGGTTCACATAGACTACCGATAGGTTCTAGAATGCACTAACCTTAGCTTAGCAAAAAGTACAGCATAAATAATTACATTACATTTACGTATAGGTTTACTCTTTCTTCTGTTTTTCATCGTTGTTATTTTATTGTATTTAAAATTGATTTGTATTATTATTTTAGGTTTTAACAATTTGCGCATTGCTTTATTTAGGTTTCAAGTTGTAATGCACACTTAAGCTAGGAGACAATATGTTAAGGACTTGTTATAATTCTTTTGATTTACAGACATAAGAGTGATACGATAATCGAATAAAAGATAACATTGAGAGAGCGTCTGGTTGGGGCTTTGCTATAGAAATTGTGCTAAGTATTTGAATTTGAGCCACATTTTGACCGCTAGCCAAATTCCCTGTTTCATCTCCGAATTTGTTCTCCAAATTGTGAAATGATTTTCGAATTAAGAAATAAACAAAACGAGCAAAGCAAAACTTATATCCTGTTTCTAGGTAGCTCTCGAGCCAAACAATTTATATATTTAAAAATGAAACACAAACATAATAAGGCGCCGATTGAGAGTGAGACGCTCTGCTATATACAAACTGAACGAAGCCTTATAAAGGACACAGACATATGTACATACATACATATATGTATATGCCATGTGCTGGTAGCTTTTAAGTACATGATTTAGAATTAGAATTAGGCATTAAACGAAAACTAATTTTAGTAGAAATCACTTTGAAATTATTGCAAATATTACGTTTGTTTAAAATTGGTTTTTGTTTAACTTATTTACGTTTTAGTTTTTGTTTTAGTTAGTTTGTTCTTCTGTGTGGACTTAGAGCTATAATTTAAGCTAGACTTATGACTAATTGCTTTTCGAATACTGCTTAGAGAAAGAAGTTTATCATACTGGACGTCTCATGGCAGCAGCTATCGAAAGTTAACTCCAGATCCTTGCCCCAGCTTCAAGCCCAAGGCTCGAGCTGTGTGTGTGAGTGTGTGTGGGTGTTTGTGTGTATGTATGTGTGTGTGTCTGTGTGTGCAGGCAGGTCTAGAGAGAACTAGACGAGTGCGCACAGTTCCACCTCCAGTATCATAAACCCAAATGAGCCGCGCTCCAGCTACGGCTCATTTCTCAGCTTAACACGAATCAGTTGCAAACAAGAAGCATCGTCTTTGATGTTGGTCGATCGACAGCGGCGGCGGATTGCGGTTTGCGGATGCGAATTGCGGATTGCGGATGCGGATGCGAATGCGAGGCAGTGGCAAATGGCAAATGGCGCAGGCACCGGCTCAGCAGCAGAACAAATTACAGCCAACAATGTCCGCTTTGTACTCCAGCTCCAGACCCAAATCTGAATCGGGCTCACAGTCCGAGTCCAGCAGCGGATCGAGTGATTGCGACTGTGGCTGCTGTGACTGCTCTGACTGCTGCTGCTGCTGCTGCTGCCTGATGATAACCTGAGATCAGAACTCTTGAGGATATTTAATGCAGTCGGCATTGGTATTGCTGGCATTGGCCACCGCCGCGGCGGAGCTGAACAGCGAGTTGGGACCGTTGCCGGTGCCAATGGTGCTGCCAGGTCCGCCGTTGGCATTGGCGCCGACGCTGACGCTGCCCAGCACCGATGCCGATGCGGTCGGATCCTGAGGGCCCTGGGACTGATAGCCGCCGGCCACGCTGGCCGCTGCCGCCGCCTGATATGGTTCCTGATACAACTGATTGAGTCTCTAACCAGTACCCGAAAAGTGCCACGCGTCCTATGCGCTCAGATGCGCAAACTGTGACGGATGGATATCGAACTGGTGATAGGGATGGCCGTAGGGGCCCATGTGGTATGGCACAATGTTCATCGATGCCATTTTGTGCTCCTTCTTCCACTTCATGCGCCGATTCTGGAACCAGATCTTGATCTGTCGCTCCGTCAGGCAGAGCGCGTGCGCGATCTCAATGCGTCGCCGGCGCGTCAGGTAGCGATTGAAGTGGAATTCCTTCTCAAGTTCCAGTGTCTGATAGCGGGTGTATGAGGTCCGTTGTCGTTTCGTCTCGCCATTGGCATTCACAGTACCTGCAATATCGAGAAGAACAATTCTGCATGAGTAAAAAGTGAAAGTGAAACACTAATCGCAACAATCTTTGATATCTGTCTAAATAAAAGTTAATTCAATATAAATCTATATTGTTTGCATGACTGTGGATTTATTTATTTTACTCACTATATTATTAAACTATATTATTAAAAAGTTATATTTAGGCTTTCTCATAGAAATAGTCTTTAATATCGCTTACATTTAATTGCAGCTAATAGAAATATCTATTATTGTATGCATTATTATTATTTAAGTAGTATTTGTTTTTCTTATTAATGTAAAAAATATTTGCATTATTATCATCATCATATATCATATATTATTTATTTATCATTGCGATGTAAAAATTCTATTTATAGCATCATTATTTTTATAGCTTGTAAGGAAATGATTTCCCATACTGGCTCTCAGACTTAATAATTTATTAAACATTTAAGAGAATTATTTTCTTAAATGAAAATGATATGCACATAACATTTGTATTACTTTCGAATTTCTTAGCAATTTATCGATATAGATAGCATTTAAGATCAGTTTTTATTGTCATCATTATTATCAATAGGAATGTAATAATCAATTCAATACAATTTGTAAAACAATCAATCTGCCTCAATAATTTATTGAACATTTAGAAGAATTGGCATTTTTATTACTTCCAAATTTCGTAGCAATTTATCGATATGGATATAATTTAAGACAAGTTGCTCTCGTTTACAGTTCGTCGATGTCTCATTTCACAGCTTTACACTTCGCTTCAATGGGGTGTTTCTGGTGCATCGTGAAACATTGAAGTGGACAAGGCACCGCTGAGGCAGTTAATTTGCTGGTTTTCTAGTTTTTTTTTCTTGATTTTCTGCAACGTGGCGCATTTCATAAATATGACGTGTCAAGCGGCAATTTGGGTTTCACTGCCAAAAAGATTTTTCATTTTATTGTTGTTAGTCGAAAAATCAACAATAACTGAGCAGCAGAGCGGAGGGGCAGGCGCGAAGCACGACAAGTATCACTCTAGACTATATAGGCTATATGGACTCCTAGACCTCTAGACCTCAGACAGCTGCCGCTGCCTGCCAATCGAGGGTTGGGAACACTGCTCGATTTCACTGTCTTCCACCCACTGCTGATGGCAATAGATAATGACAATTTCCGAGTTTCATTCCGATCCTCCTACCTCGCCAGCGACTATTGTCATCTTTTGGGCCTGCCCGAGGGGGCGTTCGTAACGCGTCGTTCATAATGAGGGGGCGGACTGTGGCAAAGTAGACTTTTAAAAGCCATTTACCGTGGCGTGTTATTATGGCCAACTCAATTGGCCCGCCCGGTATTCAACAACAATAAAAAAACAAACCGAAAAAACTCAGAGAATGAGACAAACACACACACACACATACAGAGGGAGAAATGTGTGGCAGTCAGTCAATGTGATAGACAGGCCAAGTGAGGAGCGTTTCTGTCAGCAGCGCTTTGGGAAAGCCGACAAATGTTCGCTTTTGGACCCCTCGCACGCCCCAATGAACCTATATGGGTCATGGCCCATTGCTGAACGGCAATTGGATCCAAAAACTTGCTGTCGCATTTCGTTCATTTGCTTTGCTCGACTGCAAACGCCGGACGCAGTGCTAAGCGAGATGCCGGACTTTCAGATTAGTTCAACAACTCTGCTCAAGGTCTACGTAAATATCTTTAAAATCATAATGATTTAAATGGGAATAATAATATATGTAATATGAATAAATATTACTCAACTATAATTTAAAGTAATACAACATAAAAAACAATTGCTATTAGGTGTAGATTATTATTTTAAATATACGTTATATTTCATGTATTCTTTCTCTTTCATTCTGTTTTGTTTATTTAATCAAAATATTAAAGTAGCTGTGCTCAACAGCAATTCTGCTCATGATTCTGTTCAATTTAATTTTGCAGTAAACAAAAAGTTTTGCTCGCATTTCCACTCAATGTGTCCATCTCTCTCTCTCTCTTCCACACACGGTCCCTGCCTTAGTATTGCTGTCTCTGTCTGTTGAGGATGCGCGCGGTAAAAGTTTTTTGTTTTTAGTTTTTAGTTTGTGTGTGTTGGTTTAGCTCTTGAAGTGACGTTGTCGTACGATGTCGGTTCACATCAATCAGAGGGAAATCTAAATGGAATTTCTGATTAAAGTTGAAATTAATTACCGCTCATTTAATTAAAGTGAATTTGAGTGTGGCAAATGCCGAAACGGCGGTTGCCAAAACACACACACACTCACACACCCACACATATGGCAGAGCTGAAGAGCGGGAATTTTAGCCTCTTGGTCACGCCGTAACGGGTTACAACTAATGACCACGTAAACAGTTGGGCAGACAGTAACCAGACAACGACATCAACTTCATCACTCACTCGGATCAACAACAAAGAGAGCGAGAGAGAGAGAGTGAGTAGGAGAGAGTGCGACACTTTGGTGGCAAATGGAATTGCAGAAACTCTTGGCGCAAGTCCTGACCCAGTTTTCCTCCGTTAGCAGGGCTGTCAGTCAGATTATCAACTATCAAATTTGATTCACAAGCTAATATCTCTCGCAAGCCATTAGAACCGAGTCCGAGCTGTCGGTTTCAACTTTGCAGACGGCTTCATGCAACATTCAGTGGCGTTTGATGTATGAAGTGCAGACGCAGCTTCAGACACTATGCACTTAGCTCTCATACACTACTGACCTTGCCCAGCGCTCCGGCACCGGGCCGAGCCGAGCCATTGTGTGCGGAAAATCAATATGAATCGCTCGCCGAGCGCACTTGGCGGACATTTCTCTCTGCTCCTACAAAGTCTGACCGAGGCAGGGCCATTTACAATTGTCAAACGCTGCTGTCATATGGTGTTGCAATTTGTTTACACATGCAACAAACACTCACAGCTGCAGACGCAGCAGCCCCTGTGCATCTGAGAGAATGCGTGCCAAAGTATCGGGGGAATCGCAGCATGCAGAATGTAGAATGCAGATTCGTATAGCATTTTACCACTGCTTCAGGGACTTTGATAAAAAATTTCACACTAGAAATACTAAAGAACAAAGTTCTAGCTATATAAAATAATTCTGATAAAATATAGATTCTTTATACATAAATGAATCAGCACTGATATGATATAAGTTTTTAATGTTATTATTATTATTTTTCATTATTATTATTAGGATTATTAGCAATAATGTTATTATTATTATCATAAGAGCGTTAACGACTTTTCGGGAATCATTTCAGATCTATTTTATCTTTTCAGATTATAGACTTTATATTTATTTACTTTCATTATCTTAAAGAAGATTCCATAACAGAACAGACTAAAATTCCTGTTTATATCTTTATAAACAATTTCCGTTTTATATGTGAATCTACTAAGTCTTGGATATTTTAAGATTCTTTATGACGTTCCACTATTTTAGAGCACGCTATGGCCCATGTTGTGCTTAAGATGTCTCTTATTTCCAGCTAAAAGATCAGCATGTGGCTAAGCCAATTGAAACCGAACTGATTCAAATTCTTGGCAACCCGTTTAGTGAACCACTAAATGTCAACAAGACTCGGCAGGGATTGGAGACGCATATGGATATGGGTATTGGTATGGGAATGGGCATGGGAATGGGAACGGGAACGGGAACGGGAACGGGTGTGTCACTGGGACTAACTACATGGCTACATAAGTAGCGCATCGTTGTCGCTTGTCGTCATGGCCAGGCGCAAAGCCCCATCAGTTGACAGCAGTTTGGCTGAGGCACTGCCGCGGTCGCTAGTCACTTCCACTGGCGGCATCTGTGGCACCTGGCATGTCATATCACTTATCGTCGAAGCAGAGGGGTCTGTGCATGTCGACTCTTGACAGCGCCAATGAGCGAGCATTCGAAGCGTTTTACAACTTTGTGCCCATTTCGCTGGCCGTCTAGGCGGATCGTGAAATACTATATAGATATATTGGATTTTGCATACACACACAAACACAAACACACACACACACACATGCATACGTTTATATTTATATTTGACTTTTTGTTTGGTCTTTTGTTTTGATCTTTTGCATTTAATTTTCATGTAAGATGACGTCAAAGTCAAACGCTGACAGCCGCTTAACATATCAGTTGAAATTTTTTGAAATTTGGTGCATGCAAAAATGTGCAACAGAATTTATTAAGTGCCACGGCGAAAGAGGATGAAGAAGACGACGAAGGCGAACAAGAAGAAGAAGAGGACAGCAACTCTGCAATTCAAATTGCCATTGTCTGTGGCACGTTTTGCATACCTGAGCGAGTCAGGGCAAGGAAGTTGGGGGTGGGGAGAGAGGCAAGGGGACAGTTGATCATGTTGTGATTGACACTGAATTAGCATACGCATGCAGGTTCAAAGTTAAGCTCAAAACCCTTGGCCTAGGTCAGCAAATGCCAGGCGAATCTCCACTGGAGGCTGTTGCTCGAGCCAGCAGTTCAAAGTTTAATCGTTTTTTTTTTTCCTCGATTCTCCTCGCCGGCTGCTGTCTCTGGCTCGTAGCAATAAATACAACGCTTGCGGGTTGTCACAAACACTTGTAACGCTCATTTGTCAACGGCCGGCGTCAGTCCCGCTCCAAAGGCAGTTGAAATTGCGGGAAAAACAGGCGAACATCGTCAGCGTAATCAGCCGCTCAACGTGTGCGGCACGTTGCTCAGCGCGGAGTCCAGCTCGGAGTCCAGTCACCGTCTGGCAGCTTGCGTCTGGGATGCGATCTTATCGCTCAACAGCAACAGCAACAATATTGTAACAACGACAACAATAACAACAGCAACAGTAACAACAACAACATCTGCGATGTATCAGAATTTTTGCGCTCGAGATCGCGGCCAAAACTTCATAAATCAACGCACTTCCGATTACGCAAGCGGCTAATGCCACAGCTCGCTGCAACTTGTTGCGGCTTGCTGCAGCAGCTACTTAGCAGCCGGCTAATGAGTCGTTTACCAAAAACCATTAT